CGTAGATTAGTGGAAATCGTGGAAAACGATCCCCAATCGATCATCGCGTTTATTACCTTTCACAGAGGTAAAATATAAATAACTTCTCTCTCTCTCTCTCTCTCTCTCTCTCTCTTTCTCTTTTTCTCTCGTTGTCTCGTAGTTTCGATTGTCGAAGGAGAGAGATAGAGAAACTGCCACCATACGAGACAAATGCTAACTGCGCGATATTTTGTGCACCGAAAGGATTGATTAACGTAACGTGAGAGAACATAAATTAATATGCACGTGAGGATATTAATAATTCTCCAGCCGTATTTTCGAATTTATTACCGGTCGGTCGCGAGCCCACGTTACGCAGATATCGATTTCTAAATATGCACAACGGCTGGCAGCCGGTTTTTTGTATCGACTAATGAGCGGAGACGTACCCATTCGGACTTATTTGTACAGAGATGTTAATCAAGGAGACGGAATAATTAACGCGGTATCGATCGCGCGCGAGAGCCCGGCGTTACGTTCGATTAATATCCCACGTCTCTCTTTTTCTTTCTCTCCCTCTCCCCGGCCCTTTCTCTTTCTTCTTCTCTCTTCGTATTCCTCTATTGTCCGATTGTTCGCACATGTAATAACCATTATTAGGCTTGTTAAAGATACAAAGTGAAGTAGTCGAATACAGAGATACGCCAGACAACCGGCGTAATAAAATAGTTGAGTATACATAGGATGTCTGGCGCAAAGCACCAATGTACAGTCGGTTGATTAAAAGTTAAAAAAAGTTACTAAAAAGTTTCGTCGACGAGTTTTGCGATGCATTCCACGTCCAACAAGAAAATGGGATAAAAAGACGGGTACTCCTGTTGAATATGGGATGCGTCACGAAATCAATCGAGGAAAAATGCTGGACAATTGACTCAAAATTTGATCACTCTTTTGATAATAAAAAACAAAAAAACAAAAAATATGCATGTGCCTATAGTATTACTACGAGATCACCAAATTAATCCTTTGCTGCATAGTGATCCTCCCAGAGTGCCACCTATCATCCAAGCTTGTTTTTCCAACCATTTTAATTTTTCACATATTTCTTTAGCGTATTTGGTATTGTTGGACTACTAAAATGTTCCTCTAATTAATACATCAACTTTTTTAGAGTCACCTCAAATAAGTAATTTGTTATTAATAAGCATATACTGAACACAAAACTATCGGTTTTGGAGAATAAATTTGTTTGCATGAAATTTTAAGTAATAACGTATACTTCAAAATCATTATTTGGGAGTTTTTGAATACAAATCCGGTGTGAAAAATATAAACTTCAAAATGGCGGTCCTAATATGGCGGCCGGAATTTTCGAAATTGGTCGAATTTGCTTGAAATTTGTTACTCGGAGGGGGGTTTTTGAAGTCGCTGAATATGAATTCAATGTGAAAAATACAAAATTCAAAATGACGGATCTCATATGGCGAACATAATTATAGAAATGAAACAAGCTGACTACGCTTGAGAACCGAGCAATCTAATCGGTGTCAATCGAATCTTGCCGTATATATTCATTATAGCTCTGGCATTTCGAATTTTAGATAACGAATTTGTAATTAGCAACCTCGGAAACGCTCAAATAATAAATTTCAAGCGAATTCGGCTGATTTTGAAAATTTCGTCCGCCATTTTGAATTTCATAACAAAGGGTTAAGAGAGACATTTGACCCGTTTATTCTCTAGATACACCGTGTATACCAGAGCTCGGCAAAGTTTACAACTTTCGGCCGATTTTCGGAAGCTATTCTATCTCCCCTTATCGCGCGGCGGATCCAGCAACTGACGGTCGCGGCTCGCGACCTCAGGACCGTTGAGATCATAAAGAGCACCTATGTGGTTAAAAAAAAAACGCGTCGGCAATAGTACCTCATGGGCGACGAGGAAATCTATTATGTTACCTTCTAATTATAAAAATATAAGAAAAAATATATATATACTTATACAAGTATATATTGGGTCTGGGAAAAAGTTCGTGGCGTTTTTTTAGTAAAATTCAACTGGTTTTCTTATAGTGTGAAAATGAATTTATTTAAACCAAATGTGCTCCATTATTATCGACAATGTTTCGCCATTTTTCGGGTAGAGCCATGATGCCATCGGTGAAGAATTTGTATGGTTTCTGGTTGAAAAACTGAATCAAGTGGTTTTTACAGGCTTCTTTTGAAACTAGCTTAATTCCATTGAGAGAGTTCTGCAGAGATCGGAACAAGTGATAGTCAGAGGGTGCTATGTCTGGACTATACGGTGGATGCATCAAAACTTCCCAACCAAGCTCTCGCAATTTTTGACAGGTCATCAAAGAAATGTGTGGTCGGGCGTTGTCATGATGGAAGACAACACCTTTCCTATTATTCAATTCGGGCCGTTTTCGTTCAATTGCCTGGCGTAATCTCTCTAGTTGTTCACAGTAGAGTTAAGAATCAATCGTCTGATCAACTGGAAGTAGCTCATGGTGGACGATTCCCTCCCAGTCCCACCA